GAATTTACAGGTCGCAGCTGAGAGGTGGAACTGTTAGGCGGTGTGAAGGAAATTGAAAGACAACATTGGTAAAAAGGCAGCTAAGCTGGGTGTGGTGCTGCACACCTGTAATCCTGGCCCTGGTGTTAACGGTTTGCATCTGTATGCTCCTTCCCCAAGTCCCACAAGTCGTAAATGGGACTCCTAGGAGGACGTAGGATCACAGGTGACGTAGGATCACAGGTGCTACAGCATCAGCCCCCTAATGAATTCAGCAAGGTAAACTTACTGAAGGGGGAAGACCATCCTGCTGTGGGTGGCACCAACCAATAGGCTTGCAGCCTGGGAGGAATAAAAGGGAAAGAAGGCCCCCTGCTTCCTGCCTGCGTGCCATGAAGTGTTTCTCCCCCGCCATGCCGCCCTTCCTTGGAGCAAGCCCACTGGGGGCTGAAACCTTTATAACCTGTCAGCTAAAATAAATCTTTCCTTCTTTAACTTGTGGGCGTTAGGTATTTGGTCCCAACGAGAAAGTAACTGAGACTGAGGCTGAGGCAAGAGGCTCATGAATCTGAGGCCAGCCTGGGCTACACAGGAAGACACTGTCTCAAAACCAAGCCAGCACAAACTCCCAAAGACAGCTGGACGAGAAAAGAAATCTGGGTACCCTAATACGCAAAAGGAGAAAGAGAGCTGGAGAGACCAAATCCAAACAACCTGAGAAGAGGAAAAATAGAAAAAATAAAAAGGATGAATTTCTCAGCACACCTCAAAATTTGTGAAAGAAAAAAAAGGCACAGAGGATACATTCACCAAGCTTCCTGGCTCCATGCTGAGTCAAGAGGGATTAAGAACCTGCAATAGTGAACCATCCCTTAACGCTTTAGTAACGTGACCCCTTGAGGTTAAAAAGGAGCGGTGATGGCTACACCTTCCTCTCACATCCTTGCAGAATGTGTCCAAGGTAATAAAAACCCATTGTTAAAATGCTGAGCAAAGTATTTCCTAAAGGGAGAGGATATGCACAGAACAGAGAATTCAAAACCACCTCAAGTTTCTGGCTCCTGAGCAATACTGATCAATTCTTCCCCTGAATCTAGTGCTGCTTGCAGACCCAATCTGAAGATGCTGTTTTCAAACCTTCATTTACATGTTCAGCTCAGCCAATCAAAAGTCACTGTTTCTGATCCTTCATTTGCATATGTGAAGTCCTTTCAGTGAGGCTGTTATGAACCTTTTCACTGGCCTGCACAATATATTTCTTTGCTGCCATCAATAAATACATAACCACACTACCTTGTCTTATCCAGTTTGTTGTTCAGAACACCAAGGACCTGGTGAAGCAGCAGCAGTATTTGTCACAAACAGTATCTATCTAGATATAAGCAATAAAACTGAGGAAAAAGTCCCAAAAAGCATCAATGCAGAAGCAAAAAACCGTACCAACAGTAGTTAAACTAAATGTGAATGATCTGAAGTCTATGAAATGATAAAAACACTAAATTATTTACAAACATAATTGTAACATACGTATTTCATTAAAAAGACCAATCTGACAAAGAACCTTTCCTGTTTCATTTTATCTTTTGCTGAGTAAATACAATTCAGACCGAGTGATAGTGATCAATAAAGATGATGCACAAGAGTAAATAGTTAATTTGAAACTATGTATAGTGTCTTTCTATATCCTAATAGTATGGTAAATTCTGTGGTTTAGTAAATTTTAGGATTAATACAAAATTAATCTCTAAAACTGGCCAGATAGCTCAGTGGATTAAAGTGCCTGCTTAGGCAGATGCAAGGTCTGGGGTTCCATCTCCACCCTGCCGGGCTGGCCCCTTCCCGGGGCACATTGAGATGGCAAATAAGACTGGGTGTGGTGGCTTGTGCCTGTAATCCCAGCGCTTGGGAGGCTGAATACAGGAGGAACACTACGAATCTGATCTGTATAGTGAGACCCTGTAGGCCATGTACTAAATATATATTATATTAATTAATTATATTAATATAATATATAACAATATATAATTATATGTTAATATATTATTCTATGTAATATATAGTAACTTATTTTTAACTAATTTGATTAAATAGTAAGATACCACATTCATACTGAAGACATATTTTTATGCATTACTATAGCCTTTAAGATTGTAAAGCTACTGTTCACACTTTGAGCAAGCATTAAGAATTTAGTGAAAGATAATCTTATAAATATGAAATCTTGTTTTCAAATTGGATAATGAACCGCATTTCTCATTACAATTTCTTAATATCAAAATGTTCGGCATCAATAATCTGTACTATAAATTCTTCAGGGAGGATATTGTCTTCAGGACTATATCCCTTGCAGTTCTGGGTCTAGAACCACTATACTGAGAGGTAGAAAGAACACACACACAAAAGAACACAGTTAATTTGTCATGACAAATTAATTTCTTTTATATCCTTCATATAACATGAAATTTAAAAAAAATTAATTCTCTCAATTTGTAGTAGATATGGATTTTTTATAATTACCTCAAATAATTAAACCTGTTAATATTTGGGATCAATACAGATTTAATTAGCTCATCAGTTTGTAAAGTACAAAAATAAAGATTTCAAGCTGACTGATATCTGAGGGCAAAAAATACAGCTGAATTGCTCACATTGATAAAAATAACTACCTATAAAGAAGGTACTGCAAGAGCCAGCCAGATAGCTCAACGGATTAAAGCGCCTGCTTAGGCAGATGCAGGGTCAGGGGTTTGATCGCCAGCCTGCTGTGCTGGCCCTGCCCCTGGGGAATGCTGAGACAGTGATTGAAACTGGGCATGGTGTCTTGGGCCTGTAATCCTAGTACTTGGGAGGCTGAAAAACAGGAAGGATCATTACAAATCCCATCTGTGTGGTGGGACCCTGTACTAGATAAATAAATAAAAAATAAAAAAAATAAGATACTGCAACCTTGAAAGTTTAGATACTAAACTTCACATGCAATCAAATTATTTAAGTTAAAATATGAAGATAAATGGATAGAAATAAAAACAGCAGATGACAAAATACTATCAGATGCAATATACAGGGAGTAGAGAAAAAAAGATACGGTTTTCATCTTAAAAATACAATTAACAATACTCAACATAGGTATAAATTGATGTAACGCTGTAAAGGGTCTACATTACTTCCTTTTTTCAAAATCCATGAGCTTTTTAAAAATACTGGTCACACAAAAAACTTGAATAAAGTCCCAGAGCTATGTAGGTCACATTCTCCACTCCAAATTCACGACTGGAAATCAATGTTGACACCTAAACCACAGGAAAACAAAAGGAAATAACACGATTACCTAAACAGAAAACATCAGATTAGGAACATTACAGTTACAGAAAACATTGTGACGAAACAGGAAACTATCACAACTACCTACAACTTTACAATTTACGATTTACAATAAAATCTATTTACCATGAAATCTATTTACAGTGAAATAGTTACAGATTTTTCATCAAATAATGAAATTATTGTCATTTTGTGAACAAAACCTTAACTGTAAATACAGTAAAATATTTTAAAAATAAAATATAAGGTTGGGCGTGGTAGTGCAAGCCTGTAATTCCAGCACTCAGGAGGCTGAGGCAGGAGGATTGCTGCCAGTTCAAGTCCAGCCTGGGCTACAAAGTGAGTTCAAGGTCAGCCCAAACTGCATCGTGAAACTCAAGACAAAAAAAATAAGTTAGGGTCAGGGAGATAGCTCTGCAGCATGGTGCTCACCTGGCAAACGCAAGGGCATGAGTTAAATTCCCGGTGCCAATATATATTTATAAAATTAACTAATCTAAAATGAACTGAGGGTAATGGGAAAAAATGGCTTTTAAAATTTTGTCTCTTAACTCAACTCCTGCAGGAAATCTCCTCTTCGGTAAAATGGGAATAACAGCTTCGTCAATTTGCAGAACGGAGTGCACTGGAATACAATGTTTTCAAAAGTGCTAGGCTCACAATTATTAGTAAAACACCAGGCTCGGGCTGAAAAAAACACCAGGAATGTTCTGATTATTCAGTATCTAATGCCAAAGCATCGGAAGCTCCCAAGTGGGGACAGGTTTGTTCTTGCCAGGGCAGCGATTCCCCCAGACTTAACCCCTCAGCCCCAGCTGAGTTCGTTTCCAAGCACTTAGCCAGGGAGAGGGGTTATCGCTGCTGCACGCCCGCGGGTTCTACGTCTCCCCAGGTCCCGATCGTCAGGCAGGTTCCTAACTGCAGGCCCTTCCTCGCGCTGCTGTGCTTGGGGCAGGATCACACCACTGCACAAGTGTACGGGGCAGGATTTCCCTTAATTATCACCCACGTCCCCTCTCTAAGGATCCACAGGCGGCTCTGAGCCGGGCTTGCACTAGGATCATTTCTTTGCCATAATAGTTTTCCTTTGTTAGTAAGCTCGGCCTGGCCGGTGGCTGGGGACCGCTAGGTCCTGGCAACGTGAGGACTCCAGGACCGCCGCGGTCGCACGGGCGATCGCTGCTGCCAAAGGCTGGGGAAGGCCGCACTCTTTCTGCGTGGCCAGCTGACGCAGCTGGCACATTGGAATTTAGAAGCCACAGATCTCAATAGGTTTTGACCTTAGCTCACTGCCAAGCCTCGCGCCCGCTTTTGCAGGACGCGCTCAGTCTTCACCAGGCCACATCCGGGTGCTTTTGGCGCCGCTGTGCCATTGGATGCCCCGCCCACCCCCGCACCAACCAGGAGGTCCGATCCGCAAAGGAACGCCCACCTGACGCACTGACGCTTAGGCCCAATAGGAAGCTGGAAGCAGACTCACCTAATTTGCATAGAGTTCGATATAAATATTCCGAAGCTGCAGTGTGGCTCTTCAGAACCTTAAAACGCCTCTTAAGTATTCCTACTGCGAAGCAGAAAACCCGAGCACAGCAAGGGCCTATTTGCTCCGCAGTACTTTTTAAGCGCACGGCTCTGGGGCGTCCTGCGAAGGGCTAACGAAACCCTCGCTCCTTTTATGTCGGAGCAGCCTCGGTGCAAACCCCATCCTAGGCAGCCGGAGCTGCTACACTGCGCTTAAGCCTCGTGCTCAGCGTTTACAGCTCTTTCCGTGACGCTTTGGGGGCCCTGAAAAGGGCCTTTAGGAGTTAAGGGTTGGGGGGGGTCGCTGGCTTAGCCGCCGAAGCCGTACAGGGTGCGGCCCTGGCGCTTCAGGGCGTACACCACGTCCATGGCTGTGACGGTCTTGCGCTTGGCGTGCTCGGTGTAGGTCACTGCATCGCGGATGACGTTCTCCAGAAACACCTTAAGCACTCCCCGGGTTTCCTCATAAATAAGCCCGGAGATGCGCTTGACCCCTCCTCGGCGGGCGAGACGGCGAATCGCAGGCTTTGTAATGCCCTGGATGTTGTCTCGCAGGACCTTGCGGTGGCGCTTAGCGCCTCCCTTGCCGAGACCTTTGCCGCCTTTGCCGCGTCCAGACATCGTCGCTCACACTCAGGTTACTGATTCACAAGAACCGAGTGGTACAGAAGGCTGCGGACCAGTGCTTATATACTCTTGTGGCGGACCTGTTTGAAAACCACAGGAAAGTGGGCGGAGCTGTAGGCCCCACCTCTAGGGACTCCATGCAAGCAGTACACAAAAGAAGGCCCGGTTTGTTTTATGCTTTTGAAAAACAAATTCCTAGCCCTAAAAAAAAAAAAATTTTTTTCTGTAAATTTACAGGACTCACAGTGGTATATTTAAAAGTTTAAGCAAGCTGAGGTGATAGAATTTATATTGCCTTTTCTCACTTGTGAAGTAGAAAGAAAGGCCACCTTAAGCTCGCTTTCTGATTCCCTCTCAGCACACACTGATTCTGGTTAGGTTTTGTTTTTCCACGAACAGAATATTTACTCCTAGCCCAGCATGTCTGAACTAGTATGAAAATCATTAGAAACCTTGTATTAGGTCTTAGGTCAAAACAATTACCTTAGAGATGCTCACGTGTGGAGCTCTAAAAGTAACTGTTGGGTGGTGAGGGAGTATTTTAAGTTTCTTCCCACCGCTTTTGTAGCCCTGACTGAAAATTCTTTCAATAACTTTCATTTTCCCACTCCTCACTTCACCTCTTACCCCCTCTTTCAGCTGCTCCTGTGAAATGTTTTTTTTCTTTTTTTCATTGAGTCCTCTGAACACTGGTTAGGAGAACACCCTAAATCAAATCTTACTACATGTTTGAAAACCTGTGACTCAAGTTAGAATTCCCAACTTACATGAATAAAAGAGAAGAAAATCCAACATAATAGTTTTTTAAAACTCGTTTAAATTTTTCTTGTGATATAGGGAAAAACAAGCTTTTTTACAGAAATCATCCCAGAAAGTTTGTTAAAAATTGCATCAGATGTGTATGTCCATTTATTCAGTATAGCTAATGGTTATTAGATGCTTACTAATGTGCTTAATCTTCAAAATACTTTGAGATGGTCGTAGAAGTTAAACAGTTTACTAAAGCTCAGCTGATTCGTGGTAAAGCCAGGACTTGGAAGTGATACAGTAGTCTGGTTCCAGAACTGTCTTGAATCCATGACAATAAAGACAGTGTCCCCACAGTAGGTTAATCATTGTGTTAAGCAGTTTAGACATACACATAACTACATATAAACCAACAATGCCCAATTTTTATTAGGATACGAGATGAAATTTGTTTCACGTTTAAGTGGATGCTGAAATTATCGTTTCATAGGCAAGTTTAACATTACTCGCTTGGCAGGGTAATTGTGGTATAATGGACAATGTTACGGAAACTAAAGTACCTCAGTGGGTTAGTAGAAAGTAATTTTTAATTAAAAAACACGTTGTTTTGTTTCAGACGCTATGAGTCTGTAATTTAGGTATTCTGTCTCTGGGCTCATCTATGAGGTGATGCTGAGAATGTCTTTGCTGGGAAAAGAGCTGTGGCACTGTGGCGTCAGGGAGCACGCCAAGGCTGAGATTTCCAGCTTCTGGGACTCAACTGTTCTTCTGGCCTCTCTCGTGGGATACAGCAGCTTTTTTTCAAGATCTGGGAGATGGCTCAGTGGAATAAGCGATTCCCTGGCAAGCACAAGGGCCTAAATTCAATCCTCAGTTCTGCCAAAAAAAAAAAAGAAAAAAAAAAAAAAGATCAGAGACAAGCGATGTTAAATTTGGCTAAGTGAGCTCGTCCTTCCCGTCAGCACAGAAAGCATTCCTGTCTTCTGTATCACTCATTACCCAGCATTAGAAGAGAATTTCCTTCAACCTTTTTCTTTCCCTCATTGAGTTCCAACGTTGAAACCTCAGTTTCCATTAAATTGTTTCCGGCCCTGCGTGCTGTATTCAAATGAGTGGCTATGTAAATAAGGACTGGAAATTTGCGCCTTTGATTGGAGAGAAGGGAGGAGGCGGGTCCTCAGTTAGCCCTGTCATTGGGAAGTGGGCCTGCCTGTTATTACCGAGGATGTTGCAGCACCCAACGGGACGGCGCTGCCTAGCAGCCTCGCAGAGTTTCTAAAAGCGGTTCCGGTGTGTAAGCCGCTTTCCCCAACGAGGCGGCTCGGTGCTGTTCTACCTTGCAGGAGTTTTAGGCGCGAAGTAAGCATGTCCGGTCGTGGAAAGCAGGGCGGCAAAGTGCGGGCCAAGGCTAAGTCGCGTTCGTCCCGCGCGGGCCTGCAGTTCCCGGTGGGCCGAGTGCACCGGCTGCTGCGGAAGGGCAACTACGCGGAGCGGGTGGGCGCCGGCGCCCCGGTCTACCTGGCGGCGGTGCTCGAGTACCTGACGGCCGAGATCCTGGAGCTGGCGGGCAACGCGGCGCGCGACAACAAGAAGACGCGGATCATCCCGCGCCACCTGCAGCTGGCCATCCGCAACGACGAGGAGCTGAACAAGCTGCTGGGGAAAGTGACCATCGCCCAAGGCGGCGTCCTCCCCAACATCCAGGCCGTGCTGCTGCCCAAGAAGACGGAGAGTCAGAAGGTGAAGAGCAAGTGACCCTGACGCCGCCGCAGGGCTGGCTCCCCCAGCGCAGGCCCTTTGCAAGCTGTCTGTCGTGCACGTCCGGTGCCGGGTGTCCCGAGGAGCCTTGCGGTCTAGGGGGAGCTGGGCGGTGAGGACCCCGCCGGAGCCCCGAGCTAATAAAGTCGGTGAAAACCCTGTAGTCCAGAGAGCTGTGTGGTGGCGGGGCCGACCAGAGGTGCGGGGTCGAGGTGGATGGTCGGGGTCAGGCCCACACCCCTGGAGCAGGCGCTGGGGCCGGCCGGCCGGCTGGGGCCGCTCTGGAGAGATTTGATCGTCACGCGGGGCAACCTTGAGCTGATAAGGGTGCGTGAGGGACACCACGAGGGTCCCTGTGGTCCGGAGATGGACAGGGCCGGGAGTCGGAGAGGCTCTGGGTGTGCGCGGCGCGCTGCTGCCTACTCTGGACTTATTTTCACTGTGCTTAACTTTTCCGGGGCCCTGGCCCTCCTGCCCTGTTTGTGGGTGGTCAGGACAAAGTTCCAGAAAGAGAACTTCGGGGCTGAACTTGGTTGGGGCAGGAAGTTGTCTTTTCTGGCCGTATTTTTCCAAAGTGGACTAAAAACTGTCTCTGAAGGGTGGCTTGATGACCGAAGTTAAGAGATTCTTAGCCTAAAAGCTGTTGTGTTTTCGTGTCCATATCAGATATCTTCACGGAGCACCCATATGTTCAGATTTCCTTAAAATGAAGGAAATTTGTGTAATACAGAAGCGTGAATCATGCATGGGGCTAGAACCTCGTTCCTCTGACATGTCCTCACAGTGGATTCTTTAGTCATGAGTTGCTTATGCTTGGGAGTTTTACAATGATTTACTCAAATCTTAGCTTAAAAATGTTCTTGTTTCCATCCTATTCTTTGAGAATTGGCTTTGCTTTGCTTTTGAAAGAGAAAAAATAAATAAAAAACGATAGGGTAACAGTGGTTAATATGTTGCTTATTGTTATCTTTAAATTAGAGTTCAAGATAAGAGCATTTAATTGTCCAAACAATATTAGTACAAACTTATTTTCTCAAAGAACTAAAAGGAAGTCGTATAACTACCTAATTTATTATATATATATATATATATATATATATATTTGCTTTTCCCTTCACTTTTTTAAAATCTAGTATACGGGCTACAGGGTCTCAATACATAGATCAGACTTGTGATCCTTCCTGTCTTTCAGCCTCCCAAACGCTGGGATTACAGGCCCTAGCCACCACACAGGCTCAATCACCATCTCTATGTGCTCCCCCCCCAACCACACAGGGCAGGTGGGGGTGGGGGGGACCCTGCGAGATTAAGCATAAACTTTAATCCACTGAGCTATCTGGCCGGTCTTCTTTGCTTTAAGAACAAACAAAACCCTTGCTTTTAGGAGCCATCTTATCCAACAAATACATTTTTAAAAATTCTCATGTTTTTCATCAGCCTGAGGTACTGACCCCTGTTCCAGTGATGACTATGGGAGTTATGTTAGGTAATAGCACAGTATTGTTTTAATAAAGATGTGAGGTAAAGTGAGGACTTCAATTGTGAAACACTTCAGGACAGGACTCAACACTTACAAATCCGACGCTCCTAATCCTGTTCTCCCTAGGTTGACACTTCCATTTTATTCTCCTCAAGCCATTCTGATGCCCACGGCCCACAGTTACCGTCCCAGTTTAGGTTTCACTTCTTTCAGTTCAGCTTTCCTGAGAGTCAGAGATAAAACCCTTCTGGCCCGTTTTCCCATATGAATTTCATTTACTCCCCAGTGCTTACCAAACATCTGTGCTGTGCTCGAAGTGAGGAGGATACAGCTGTGAGGCCTCCCGATTGGTCCTCTCTTGGCACATAGGGGTGGTTTGTTGGTTTGTTTTGTGGCTTTTTTCTTTTTCTTCCTAACATCTGATTTTTTTCCCCTGTAGTCTGAGAATAGACTGCAAGCGGACCATGGTAGCTCCAGGGTGTCCAGGTATTGACGCACCGCTTATTTAGGTTTCCTTGTGTCATAAAACCTGTTTTGAGGACACAGAGTGTTCCTTTTGTGTGCCGTGTATGAGGCACTTACTGGAAAGATGTTCTGTTTCCTACGAGGACATGGTTTTACATATACGTAAGTATACTGATAGAATTCTTTTTTAAAAAAGTACTGGTTACAGCTACTTCTCAGTAACACCACTCGGGGTAATGGAACAACATACACCAGTATATTTACATAACAGAAGTTGGAAAAGTATGTGGGAAACATTACATGTGCACTGACTATACACAGGCTTCCTTGTAATCTTTCACTAAACACATTATAACAACTAACTAGCATTTGCATAAAATTTGGAATTTTAAAATTATTCAGGGTTTTGGGTTTTTTTGTTTTTTGTTTTTTGGGGTTTTTTTGGTCAAAATAGTCTTATTTTGCCACCTTATAGTCTGAGAATTAACTGGATTTTGCTTTGTAATAAAACAAAACTCTTACTTTTTACCCAACAAATAGGCTTTTTGTTGAA